TTAGATATAAAGGAGAGATTCGAGATGGGTCTATAATTTGAAAGTTCGCATGGATCGAGGTTAGCTTTCTTAATCAGCGGTCTAATTACTGCTAGTTTAAGAGATTTTGGGATGTACCCAAGGCTAAGAGAAGAGTTTATTATTGACAGAATAGGCTTGGTTATTTCTGGCAGAATTTCCTTGAGTAAACCTGTAGGAATCGGATCTAGCATACAGGTAGATGATTTCGCGGAAGAGACTATTTTAAATAGTTCATTTTCTTGGAGTAAGGTAAACGATTCCAGCCTCTCTGCAGGGATTATAATATTCTCAAGATTGAGGCTGGCATTATGGGGAAGCAGGTTTCTAGAGTTTAATTGCGTATTCTGAATTTTCTGCCTAATTTTTTCAATTTTATCACTAAAGAAATTCATAAAATCGTTGCTGCTATAGGCTGATGGCATCTGGGGTTCACTAACTGTTTTGTTCTCTGTTAGTTTAGAGATTGTGCTGAAAAGTAATCTAGGATTATTCTTATTGTTTTCTATGAGAGAGGAGAGATAAGCTGAGCGTGCTGTAGCAAGTGCTTGTCTATAGTCTGTAAGGCTCTCCTTCCAGGCGGACTGGAACACTTCTAGCTTAGTCAGGCGCCATTTACGCTCAAGTTGTCTGGCGTTCTGTTTTAAAGCCCGAGTGTGGTCATTATACCAGGGGGCGAGTTTTTTCTGCCTTACTATTTTACTTTTTAATGGGGCCACACTATCTAGAGTAGATCGAAAAGTATCCTCTAAGAGCTTGGTCATAGCATCTAGCTCAGTAGGATTAGATGGACAGATGAGAGCGGCTGATAATTTAGGAAGGTTTCTAATAAAGCTACCAGCTGTGGAGGGAGTTATTGTCCGCTTGACACAATAACATGGTGATGAACGCACATTACCACTAAAGTGAATTTCGTAAGAGATTAAGTAATGGTCAGAGACTGCTGTGCTCTGGGGGAGAATGGCTAAGTTATCTATGTTTACACCAAAAGTCAGTATTAAGTCTAGAGTGTGGTGGTGGTAGTGTGTGGGCCCCTTTATGATTTGGGTGAAACCTATGGAGTCTATGATAGATATAAATGCCTTGCTTAGTGCATCTTGGGGATTGTCTAAATGGATATTAAAATCTCCGACAACTATTATTTTATTTGAAAGCGTTATTAGACTTGATAGAAACTCAGAGAATTCCTGTAAGAACTGAGAATACGGCCCTGGTGGCCTGTAGACTGTAATTAGTGTAAAGGAATTTTTATGTGTTCCTTGATCACTTATATTAAGAAAAAGAACTTCAAAAGAAGAGAATGTATAGCCTACTTTCTGCCTCACGCCTAAAGCTTTAGTATGGATGGTTGCTATACCTCCACCTCGGCCGCTTAAACGAGGGCTATGTGCATAGCTGTAGCCTGGGGGTGTGGCTTCGTTTAGACTAAAGTATTCATCGGGTCTAATCCACGTTTCTGTGAGGCACAGAGCATCAAAGCTGTGATCGGTAATAATTTCATTAACAACGACAGCTTTAGGAGTAAGGGATCTTATATTAAGCAGTCCTAGTTTTAGACCAAAAGTGGTGGGGTGAATGCCCACTTGCCACCACAGTTCCGGCGGCTCTGTATATACAACATTAAGAGGACCAGCTCTGTCCTGGGAAGCCCCCTAGACCCAGTGCAGACGGTGGGAGACAGGAGGATGTTAGCCAGACTAGCCTCCATGCTGGAGAACAGCTTCCACCCCATGACTGAGACTCTGGCAGCACTGGGCAGCTCCTTCAGTGACCGGCTGCTTCACCCCAAGTGTGTGAAGGAGGCTATCACAGGTCCTTCCTTCCTGCTACTGTTAGACTGTACAACAAGCACTGCTCCCAGTAGAACCCCCTCCACCCCCCATTAGACCTCATACACCTACAGATCATACACTGTGAATTCATCACCATTTCCTGTGTGCAGTATAATCTATTCTATATAGTAACGAACTGTAAGAACCTTGTTAAGTACTCAACAAAGTTAATTACTTGCTTGTTAATTCTCTTCTTACTTCTCTTTTTATTGAGTGCGTTTCTCTTCCTTTGCTGCTGTAACACTGAGAATTTCCCCACTGTGGGACTAATAAAGGATTATCTTATCTTATCTTGTCTTAATGATCAATTATAGTGGCTGCAATAGCTTTTCATTTCATTGTTGGTGGCTTTTGATTGTACATTTGTACATTTTTTGATTGAACATTGTTGTAATGTTGATTGTTAAATATGTTTTTGTTTTGTTTCATTTAACGAGTCGTCTCATATTGAAGGGTCATTTGTTCATATATGTTTGTTTCTGGCTCAGTGCCCAGTTTAATCTTTCTCTGTGAAGTCCAGATACAGAAACTAAACAGCACAAACAGGCTGTTTTGAATTTACTGTTTTTATGACGTCACAAAAACCAACACATTTACACACACACCCCTGTCCCAACACTGGACACCTAAAACAGTGTTTTGTAATGAAGCATGTTCACTGCTGCTACTGAAGAACATCACCTTTATTTATCTTATTTATTCATTTATTTATTTATCCTCTTATATAAGTATATAACAAGACACACAGTGAGGACTGAACTGTTCCTGTGTTTACTGGATGAACATCTGCATGAAAAAGTTTCTGAACTCTTAGAACGACGTGAACTTCTGCAGGAACGACTCTTATAACATTAAATAATCTTCATTCATAATAAAAAAATGAGAAATGAAGTGAAGCTCACTGATTAAAACAGAGGGCAATCAGAACTGAGTTCCCTCATTAACTCAGACAGATCTGATCTGCTCTCCAGGTCCAAACGCTGCTCTCTTTAGGATGAAAACACACATTTTGGTTACTTTCTCTTCAAAGCAGTGTTATTAGGATCACAGTGAAGGAGCTGGAAACATCAGCAAGATAAAAAAGAAAATATTCTAATTAACTGATCAAACGATACAAAGACTGAGTTGTGTAGAAACACATTAAAGTGAGCGCAGTGACGTTCCTGCTCCTGTAGAGCTAAAACACCTGGGAAAAAACAGAAATGACCAGTATACTGGACATTTGGAATGAGCCTACAGCAGTTTAGCTCCGTCCATGAAGTTATAAGGAGTGTCCAGTCCTGTCTGCTTCCTGAACAAACCACAATACAGGGCGGCCAATCGGAACTGAGCTCATTTGCATTTGCATCAGTCTTACAGGGACAGTAACAAAAACAGCCTAATTCTAAGGCAGGCTGCTCAGTCCCGGTCCTGGACATCCACCACCCTGGAGAGCTCTGATCCAGAACACCTGCTTCAGATCCTCGTCAGCTGGACCAGGTCCTGTAAGCGTCTCAGAGTAGAAGGATGGGATCCTCTCAGTAAAGTCACAGTAAATAAGAGAGGAATCGGATCCTAGATCAGAACTCCAGCTCCGAGAACTTGAATACGAGCCCAGATTCTAGTCAGACCTGAACTCAGCAGGCTGGTGGATCTCCAGAACCAGGACTGGGTTCTCCTGTCCTAAAAGATAAAGAGAAGCTGGACAACGGGTCACGTAAAACCACACAAGCGTTATAAATGGAGCTCAGGGGGGAAAATAAGGTGTAAGAAAAATGTAGAACATTTAATGTTTACTGCACATAATCAAACACACCCACTCTGCAGCAGCGCCTCCCCAGGGAGCTGATCTGAGAGCAGACCTCGCTCACGACAGCCGTTTATCTATGGTTTATGTAATACAGTGGAAAGAAATTTGAATTTTCCGTTCCACCTTAAACGGTTCAGCAGCTGCAAGCCAGAATGTGGTGGCTGCACCATTTAAGGTGGAACAGAAAATTAAGAAGCTAGCAGAAAAATAGACAACAGTAACTTCACCACTGTATAGAAACCACTGCATTCATAACCTCCTCAGTCCGAGACCGAACACTTTAAAAACAATCAACGTTTTCTGCTGCACTAAATACCGTAAATTATTCTTTCTGTTTACTGAGAGACACACAATCTCCAGTGTCCAGTACGTTTGGACTTCAACATGAAACGTGAGAGAAAAATGAACATATTTATCATCAACATAAGACACGAATAAAGCAGTGACCTGTTCCTGTGTTGCTGTTTGTACAGCTGCATGAGAGTTTCTGGACTCTTAGAACTGCCTGGACTTCTGCATGAACAGCTCCTAAAACATTAAACCATTTTCATAATCAATTTATATCATAATAATCAATAAAGAGCTTCTAAACTCAAAGCATACAGACTAATTTACATTGGTATATCTGAAATAAACAAATGGCTGAAACAATCAAGGTCATTGATGGAAAAAAGTCAGAAAATTTTACATAATTATATTACACAGATTTATATGTAAGACTATATATATAATTTATATAATGCGTAATATTAGACATTACACATATTATATACCTTTTACACTTTAGTCCAGTATCATAGACAGAAACAACTTTTCTGAAACGCAGGAAATGTTGTTTGTTTGGGTTTGTTATCATGATAATCATAAATATGTTCATTTTTCAAAATCTTAGCTTTTATAAGTTTAATAAATTTCTACTATTTCCTACTGATTTTTCACTAAAGGGACCGTTTAGAAGGACAAACATACAGAATCAGTTCTGATATAAATCCAGGATCATTCAGAAAGTGTTTAGTGTGGCCTTGGAAGAGGGGAGTGTCCATCTCACCAGCTGCTATGTTTGTATTTGTTTATGAAAAGACAAAAAAAAAAGATAATGTTGTAATAAATGACCAAATATTACAAAGCCTGAGATCTGTACAAACACATTAAGGTGAGTGTGGTGATATATCTGCTTCTGTAGAGCCACAGGGAAAAGAATAAAAATGTCCAGCATACTGGACGCTCGGAATGAGGAGGTCGGCCACTCAGCTGCTCAGTCTACAGCAGTTTAGAAACTGATCTGAGAGCAGATCTCACTGCACTCTTAAAACACAGGCGTTAAAAACCATGTTCTATCACCGACTAAACGCATCAGTGTGTCACTTTAACACAAAACGTGTTGAAATATTTCAATAGGCAGTTATTGAGAACACAGTTTGGGTTGCTTATATATATATATGTGTGTATATATGTATATGTGTGTGTGTGTGTGTGTGTGTATATATACATACATGTACATATACATACATATATTATACAGGGAGATTCACTCGAAAGAGGCAAAAAAATACCAAAAAAATACACTACATATCTTGACGTGTGTAATCGATTGCATGCTCAAAGTGATCTCTGTTTTCTGCCAGACACATTTCGACATGGTGCTCCATGTTACTGAACGTATTGGCAAGCATTAGAGAGGTTAAACGTCACAATGGCTGTCTGGCGCCTACTTCAAGTCGGGTTCGCAGGGGCAAACCCGGCTTGTTCGAAGCTCCATATACTGAGGAGCACATTGCACGTTGTTTTGTTCAGATTGCTTCGTCCTAGCAAGAGTTATTACAGAATATTCGGGGCCTCTTTCGAGTGAATCTCCCTGTATATAACCATAACTAACGTAAGAAAGGGAAGAAATTTAAATTTTCTGTTCCACCTTAAACAGTTCAGCAGCTGCCAGCCTGAATGTGACTTCTGCTCCATTTAAGGTGGAACAGAAAATCTATAATCACCGCTGTTTAAAAATCACTGTACTCATAACGCTTGACAGTATTTTTAATGTGATAATGTTCTTTTCATGTGATAAAACGTGTCTGAACCCAGAGAAGCTCAGTACTGGGACGTATCGTGAAAACGTCTGTTGTGATGTTGCGTTTTCGGCCACATCACTCAGCCCTAATTCCAGTGATGCTGCTTCCCAAACATGTTAATAAACACAGTGCACACTTTAGAGCTGTAAGCTGGAGCGGCTCCAGGGCAGTCAAGGTCCAGAGGCGGCCGGCTGGCCGGGCATGGCGATGTCCGGGAGGAGCTTGCAGCTGGTGATGATGTCGATCTTCTCGGACACGGCTCTGAGGTCCTCCAGGATGAGGCGGATGCTGTGAGAGGTGTTGATGATGCCGTTCTGGGAGGTGTTCAGGTGGGTGGTGGCGGTCCGGATGTCTCTGGACGCTCCCTGGTACAGGAGCTTCAGGCTGTGCTGAATGTCAGCGCAGAGGCGAGCATTGCTCTCCTGCAGCTTCTGCTGCAGCAGAGTGGACTGTCCGGCAGGTTCCGCCCTCAAACACCTCCCATCATCTGGTCCTGGCTCTGACAGCACCTCTGGGCCGCGAGTGACCACCAGAGGAGGCAGATCAGGCCGGAACAGCAGGGAGTTCTGGGAGGTTTCTGGTCTCCACGGCTCTGCTTCTCCCTCACTGTCGGTCTCTGAAGCCTCTCCAGGAACCGTGAGTCCTGAGGAGGGTCTGGCCGAGGTGATGTAGACCTCCTGCTCCGAGTCAGAGTCCGTCTCCTCCGCCTCGCCCTGAACCACCACCGCCACCTGCCTGCCAGCCATCAGCACCAGAACAGAGCAGAGTCGACAACAAAACACAGGAAACACTGAAAAACGGGCTTTCAGCACAAAACCTCAGCTCTGAGCGGAACACACGACCCCCGGGGCGGTGAAGACCCTCCAACCCGCAGACTCTCCTCTTTATTCGCTCCTTTTCGGCTCCGCAACTCCGCTGATCGGAGTCACATGAGGCGCGTGAAGCCAGGCGCACTGAACGCAACTCGGCGGAAATACAGAATAAAAGTCTCTCTGTTATTTATTCCCGCCGAAAATCGCCTGTTTTTGTCCTTTTGTGTTTCTCGAAGCTGTATAAACATATTAACATCTCTAAATTATGACTAATTTAAATAATGACGAAATGAAGACTCATTATCCCAAATTAATCATCTTCTTGAAACGAGATCTCATTATTTTGGCATAAAAGTTCATCATATGTGATTATGTCGTGATGCTAATTTAATATTTTGAGAAAATAAGTTATTATATTTCGAGAAAGTTAGTAATTTAGGATAATAAGTCATTATTTCGATACAGTAAGTCATTATTTAAGTGTAATAACTCATTATTTTGACATGCTTAACTCGAAATCTCATGATAAGTGATTATTTCGTGGTGTTAATTCAATATTTTTGAAAAACTTATTAACCTGAGGGATTTTTTCTCTTCTGTGTGGCGGGATTGATCTTCTCTAATAACTTAAACAAAACAAACACAAAAGAAAACAGAAGGACCTCCAATCTGTCGATCCTTTATTTATGTAAAATAATAATAATAATCAAAATCAAACTAAAATAAAGTAAATAAACAAAATAAAAATCCCAGATAGTAAAAATAAAACACCTAAATTATGAACACAAGCAGTAATGTAAATAAAGATTATATTAAAAATTATATAACATGTAATCAAATAAAAAACATAATAAGAAAAATAATAAAATAGGAGAAAATATCTGAATCAAAAGCACTTTAAAATAAAATAAGTCTTAAGTTTGTGTTTATAACAGTCCACAGACTGAACTGTTCTAAAAGTGCTTTAAAATCTATTTTAAACATTGTAGAAAATCAGAACAGGAGTAATATGGGTTCTCTTCATGGTTCTAGTGAGAATCACATTCAACATGTATAAATACCCAGGCAGTGCTAGATATTAGATATTTAATATTACATTTTAGACATTACATGTTTAATACTAAATATTAGATATTTCATATTGGATATTTTTGTTTTTGATTAAAATGCAGATCAGGCTTTCAAAAACTGGCAGAACGAAAAGTAGAACAGCGAAAGCAGGAGAGAGAGCGCCCCCCTGTGTTTGGGAGGTGGAGCAGAGTTATGGAGGTCTACTGGAGGGGTTAACAGAGAGGAGGTTTCTGATACAGTAACTGCAGCTGTGGAATGGAGATGATGTGACGGAGCCGTTTAAGCTCTGAGCTCCATCTTCTACTGCAGAGTTTAATAATCAATAATCTCTGTTTCTGAGCTCCGTCCTGTTCTCTCCCACACTGGAGTGTTAAAGCTGGAGTGTGAAATGAAGGTGGAGCAGAAAGTGCTCCGGTTTCAGCTCTGTAGGTTCAGAACCTCTGTTCTCCTGTGGACTGACCATCACGCCGGACACCCTTCATTCTTCGTTCAGTCCACATCGGAGACTCATGGGAAATGGCGTGCAGAGAGTTTACAGCTGCTGAAGCTGCTGCAGCGGTTTTGGAAAGTAGTGATGAAGATAACGGAGCATTTAGATATGAAACATATGAGGATCATGTTATATGAAGAGCCTTTAAAGGAGAGTTTAAGAAGAGATGAACAAATCCAGAAAATGACCTCTAACCTGTAACAAAGCCCAAAATCATAAACATTAAGCTTTTAATGGTCTTTACACAAACAGCTGCAGTGAGTCTGTGGGAGAACTTTTCCCTTTGATTTCTCTACATGTTGAGTTTACCTGAGTAAACCTGCAGACAGTCTTTCACAGAAAGAGTCACAGAAAGAGTCAGTACTGACTGACGGCTTCACACAGCTGGAAAACACTGACAAGCTAAGTTTGTGTTTTTTTTATTTTTAAAGCTCACTAATCATATGACTGGTCTACTGTATGACTACTCATATAGTTATAATTATACCGATCTAATTATAATTATGATGATATGAATAGTCATACTAATTATACTCAGTCATAACTAATTATATGATCATATGTCTGGTCTGAGTGTCAGTGCTGAGTCTCTGTTCTGTTAATCTTAATCATTACTGTGAGTAATAATGAAGCTCTGTATTCAAAACAGTTATTGGTTGGGGTTCTTACCTCTTACCTCTGCTACAGCAGACATACTTATTAATAACTGTGCTGTACAAAGTCTGTTTGTCTGATTGGTCATTTAGGCCGTGCTGGGGCTTCAGAGCGCTACAATATGAGCATCATTTTTTTTTATTCAGTCATTCTTATGAACATATTCACATACGCACCCCGCTGTAGACAATCTTCACAGTTCTGTGAGTATCAGCTCCTCCAGATCATTGAAAAATGAGCCATAACTTTAATTTCATGGCTTTTATTTCTGCTCTTGTACACATCTGACCTGGAACAGATCCAGAGTTTACACTGCAGAGATAAACACTGATCAGCTCTGAGAAAAAGTCCTCTGATGTGTAGATCTCTTTATCTCACAAACAGGAGTTTATGTGTTCAAACAAAACATGCACATATTAGAATAAACACAAATAAACAATAAACAATCCAGCGTGATTATTCTGTGTGTGTGAGATTTCCAGGTCTCTCCTGGAGGAAGTCTAATATTTACTCTTATCATCCAATACCTGCTTTATCTAATCAATACTTCATGACTGGAGAGCAGCGAGGAGACAAGAACCAAACCTGAGATCTTCTAAACTTCATATTCATAACTTTACTGAAAACAGCACGTTCAGACCACCGACTACTGAGATCAGGATTATTAGTGTTTGTTCTGATGTTATTTAGAGTCCTTACTGTATTCATGTTCATTCTGAAATGATGCAGTGTTTTTACTATATTTATGTTTATTTGTGTTTATTCTAATGTTATACTCTGACCTGATTGGCTGAATGTAATTTATAGTCATCTGCATTTTTCTCAGCCCACAGCGAGACGGTCAGATCTGGACCAGATCTGCAGGACCAGACTGGACTGTCCTGCTGTAAATAGTCTGTACAGACCTTTAGACCGGTTACTCATTCACAGCACTCACACACTCACACACACACACACACACACACTCTCACACACACACACACACTCACACACACACACACACACACACTCTCACACACACACACACACACACTCAGAGTGAAGAGAAACTGCGGGACAGAGTACACACACACTCAGTGCCAATACAGCACACCTGCACAGATAAACATTCACACTGAGTGAGCGAGTGAGAAGAAGAAGAAGAAGAACGATTCCTGTGTAGAAAGGTATCTCACCTGTACAGACTGATATCTCACCTGTGCAGGTAAGGTATTTAAAATGGAGTCTCTGAAACGCTGGAGGGCAGGGTGGGTTTATCCGACATGTCTACTGTGTATCTATGGATTCCTCAGCACGGTGAAACCTCTGGAGCCGTTCCTCATCCCGTTCCTCACTGGACCTGACAAGAACCTCACCATGGAACAGGTACCATAAACCATCATAAAACCGCAGCAGTGAAATTATTAGGTTGTAAAGTGATTAAACTGTAAACGAATTAAAAACAGTGGTGTGGAATTTCATTTCCCTGTTTATCTGGTAAAGCAGAGCTAGAAACATGTAGCATTAATACTGACAGAATGGGAATGGGTGAAGGATGACTGCGGAAACTATAGCATTTCCATGGAAACAGGTGTAACTATAGAAACATGCGTAGCATTCCCATGGAAATGGGTGTTGCTTTACCATAGAAACATGGAACCGGGTGTAGCACTACACTAAATCAAATCAAATCAAATCAAATCAGATTTATTGTCACATCACAAGAGTACAGGGACACAGGTGAGTGAAAAACTTGAGTGCGAGTTCCACAAATTATGCAGAGAACAGTATTTACACATAGATAAACAAAACTATAGATAGGATAGAAGAATAGATAAAACCAATTTAACTAAAATATATACATATAATCTTACACAATAACTTAAAAATAGTAATATTGCACCGAGACATATAATATTGCACTGGGAATGTAGGGTGGGTGTAATCAACTATATACTATATATAGTAATGGATATTACAATGCTATGTAGATGTGCAAATAACCACACTAGGTGTGGAGGTAGAAGATGGTACAGTAGGTGGCAGAGTATTTAGTAAAGTGCAAGGTACAGGAAGTTAAGTGGAAGCGCAGGGGGAGAGTATTGTCTTTGGATAGGTATTCAAAGTCCAGCTATGCAAGTAAAGTGCGGGAGTACAGTGGGTGCACGTACGTGTAATGGGAAGGGTTGGGCTGGGCAGAGCAGTGATTACTGGCTGTTCAATAGCCTGGTTGCATGGGGGAAGAAGCTGTCTTTGAGCCGACTGGTTCTGGCTTTTAAGCTTCTGAGCCTCCTACCACTCGGCAGCTGAGAGAACAGACAGTGACTAGGATGGGAGGGGTCCTTCATAATCCTTCTGGATTTCCTCAGGCAACGACTGGTGTATAAATCCAATAGGTTAGGGAGCTGAACCCCGGTGATGGACTGTGCTGTCCGCACCACCCTCTGCAGAGATTTCCTCTCATGAACAGTACAGTTCCCGTACCAGGTGGTGATGCTGCCCGTCAGGATGCTTTCCACAGTGCAGGTGTAGAAGGTCTTAAGGATGCTGGGGTTCAGGCCAAACCTCCTCAGCCTTCTGAGGAAGTAGAGGCGCTGGTGGGCCTTCTTCACCACCTGTGAGGTGTGCACTGCCCATGTCAGGTCCTCGCTGATGTGAACACCGAGAAACTTAAAGCTGCTGACCCTCTCTACCGCAGTCCCATTGATGGAAATCGATGGGTGTACTCTCTCCTGCTTCCTGAAGTCCACGATCAGCTCCTTGGTCTTACTGACGTTTAGAGAGAGGTTATTCTCCTGGCACCAGTTTTCCAGGATTTTAACCTCCTCTCTGTAGGCCGATTCATCGCTGTTGGAGATCAGGCCCACAACTGTTGTGTCGTCAGCAAACTTTATGATGACGTTGGAGCTGTGTCTAGCAGTGCAGTCATGGGTGTACAGGGAGTACAGGAGCGGGCTGAGCACACAACCCTGGGGGGCTCCGATGTTGAGGGTCAAAGAGGAGGATGTGATACTTCCCATCCTTACCACCTGCCGTCGGCCCGTCAGGAAGTTCAGGATCCAGCTGCACAGTGTGCTGTTCAGACCCAGATCCCGGAGCTTGCAGTCGAGCCTTGAAGGAACGATTGTGTTGAATGCTGAACTGTAGTCTACAAACAGCATTCTCACATACGTGTCCTTCTTTTCCAGGTGGGAGAGGGCAGTGTGCAGGGTCAGGGCGATTGCATCGTCGGTGGATCTATTCCGCCTATATGCAAATTGCAGTGGGTCCAGGGTGGCAGGCAGTGAGGAACAGATGATATCCCTGACCAGCCTCTCAAAGCATTTGCTTACGATGGAGGTCAGGGCAACAGGTCGCCAGTCGTTCAGACAGGTAATACTAGCTGTCTTTGGAACTGGCACAACGGTGGCTAGTTTGAAACTAGCTGGCACGACCGAGAGAGACAGTGAGGTGTTATAGATGTCTGCAAAAACTCCTGCTAGTTCCCTGTAGCAGGCTTTAAGCACTCTCCCGGGAATGCCATCTGGTCCTGCTGACTTGCGTGGGTTCACCCTCTTGAAGGCTTTGCACACATCAGCTACGGAGACGGAGGGGGGGTTGGGATCAGCGGTGGGCGGGGCGCTCTCCAGTGGTGCTGCGGGAATTCCGTCGAAGCGAGCGTAGAAGTTATTAAGCTCGTCCGGCAGATCAGCGCTGGTACTGGGCAGAGTGCGAGAGGCAGTTTTATAGTCAGAGATTGTATTTAACCCCTGCCATAAGCTTCGTGTGTTGGCTGTGTTGAACTGTGCTTCCACTTTCATTCTGTACGCACGTTTAGCTGCTCTGATGGATTTACGGAGAGCGTAGTTGGATTGCTTGTACTCCTCCGTATTTCCCGCTCTGAATGCAGCGCTGCGTGCGCTGAGGGCGGAGCGAACCTCACAGTTCACAGATCGTACCAACCACTGTATACCCACTACGCTATACCAACCACTGTATACCCACTACACTATACCAACCACTATATACCCACTACACTATACCAACCACTATATACCCACTACGCTATACCAACCACTGTATACCCACTACACTATACCAACCACTATATACCCACTACGCTATACCAACCACTGTATACCCACTACACTATACCAACCACTATATACCCACTACACTATACCAACCACTATATACCCACTACGCTATACCAACCACTATATACCCACTACGCTATACCAACCACTATATACTCACTCACGATCAATAAGTTATGAGATTAATAACATGCACGCAGATCAGCAGTAGAGATTTTGGAACAGGCATGCTGGTTGGCTCAGTGCTGCTGATGTTATGTACTGAATGATGTGGTCGTTTTCAGGAGTCTGTGGTGTTGAAGTAATTCGGCCAGTGCTGAATTTTGATACTCAGTTTCAGACTAGCACAGTGTTCCTGTCTGTCTCTCAGGTGGCCAATCAGATCTTCCCGGTGTGGACCTACTCGTACCTGGCCTTGCTGGTTCCGGTGTTCCTGCTCACTGATTGGCTGCGCTATAAGCCTGTGGTCGTGTTCCAGTGCTGCGCTCTGTTCGGGACCAACGCTATGCTGCTGTGGTCAGGGGGAGTCGGTTTCATGCAGGCCATGCAGTTTGTTTACGCAGTGGTGACGGCCTGCGATGTGGCCTACTTCTCCTACATCTACAGCATGGTGGCGCTGCAGCACTACCTGAAGGCCACGTCGTACTGCCGCACCGCCCAGCTGCTCGGGTACACGGTGGGGTCAGTCCTGGGTCAGCTTCTGGTCTCCTTCAACTTACTGACCTACAAGGACATACTGGTGCTGACGCTGGTGCTAATCTCCATCGCCATGGTGACCGCAGTGCTGCTGCCCATGCCTAGAACCAGCATGTTCTTCCACCAGAGAGGAGAGAAAGGAGGGGGTTTAACTGAGGAGGGCAATGATAACGGAAACACACCAAAAACAGGAAAAGTGGAAACCAACGATACAGAAACGTCCGGAAGTGCTCTGACACGAGAAGACGTTCCACAGGACAAAAGAGAGGATCCACAGCAGGATGATGGGAAATGTGGAGAGTCCAGTCCAGCTGAGAGACGAGGTGAGAAAAGCAGGGAGTTCAGAAAATAAGTCAGCTTAGTTGTTATGTAGGTTTATAAAAGAATAATAAATAATAAATACAATATGTTAAACGTTTACATTTAGTGGTTTGGTGTGAAACGCTCTGTTCTAGAGAAACTTCAGAACTGTTCACAGTGGTGGTGATAGGAACCAGACGTCCACCTCTAAAAGCTCCCTCACAGAAAGTTCCTACATGAAATGGTTATGAATTCACTGCCTGATGACTGAGACACTGTTTTATGATAGTTTGAGAACTTAAACTCCATTCATGGTGGAGGGATACATGCAGGGCGCTGTGAGGAAAAATAGTCCCCAAAGAAAACTTATTATTTCAGACTTTCCACTATTTTCCATCATCAACATTCCATATGTCTATATTTGTGTTGTAGTCATGGCGACCCCTGGTTCCTATCACCACCACTGTAAAGACATCTGAACCATTTCACACCAAACCATCCTGAATGATCTCCAACACTGAACTATGTGGGATTGTCCTGTTGTCTGTATCAGGATGCTGTAATACGCTCCAGCAGTTGTGGAGAGATTTCCTGCAGTGTTACTCCAGTAGAGAGATGCTATACTGGTCAGCGTGGTGGGCACTGTCCACCTGTGGCTACAACCAAACTGGAAACTACGTCCAGGCGCTGTGGGAACACGTGGAGCCTTCCAGCAACTTTACCATCTACAACGGAGGAGTGGAGGCTGTGTCCAACCTGTTCGGTCAGCATTAATATCATTTACAGTTACGGCGTTTTTATTTAGACAGTTACTCAGAGTCACATTTAACAGTGCACTGAGTTTAGGAGGATGAACAATGATCCATAACATCTAAAGAGAATACAGAATATAAACAGCTCAGTCTGAGTGATGGATGTGGTGTTGTGCTGAGTTTAGGTGCGGCGGCAGCATACGGAGTTGGTTTCATCCAGCTGGACTGGAGCTGTTGGGGTGAACTGGCTCTGGGCTCATTGTCAGGTCTAGGGGGCGCTGCTCTGTTTGCGATGGTTTTCTCTGCTAATATCTGGGTCTGTTATGCTGGATACATCATCTTTAAAAGCCTCTACATGCTCCTCATCACCATCGCCATGTAAGAGCTTCTAAAAATCTATTTATTGTTTAATTATGATAATAAAAAGCTGGTTTTAATATAGAGATGTGCAATTTACACAGTGTTACCATGTCTCAAAATATCATAGGTCATCTGACTCACTGGCCACTTTATTAGAAACACCTGCCTTATAGCTCCACCATGTAGCTGTCCAGTTACAGACTGAAGTCCATCTGTTGTACAGCTTATCAGCCCTTTCTACCACATTCATTATTGGTCAGTTTCTGACCACAGGGCTGCTGGTGTCTAGATATTATTTGGATGATGGTCCATTCTCAGCACAGCAGTGTCCTGTTTAAAATAAATAGGGACCTCCCTGGGGAACCGGTATGTACTGAGCAAATACTTGAGTGCACATATCTGGACGTGTTAGTGTCCAACTGCATTCACACAATTACCACCACTTCAAACACTTGGCTGGTTTGAAGTGCAGAAGGGGTCAGTCACACAGCTCTCAGCCAAGATACAACACCTTTCATGCGTTAAAGCTCAGAGATAAATCGTGTTTATTGTTGTTCGAAAACATGCGTCCACTCACGGGAACTAGCAAGCAGTGGTGGACGAAGTACACGAACCATGAGCTTGAGTTAAAGTAGAGACACCCAAGGTAAAATATTACTCCAGTAAAAGTAGAAGTTCCTCCCTTTAGACCTCCACTTGAGTAAAAGTACTAAAGTATTTGTCTTCAAATGTACTTAAGTATCAAAAGTAAAAGTACTAATAGATTAATTATGGCTCTGATGTCCTATTATCATTTTTATAACAAGACTCGCTTCATTAACACATTTTAGGTGAAAATACTCCAGTGTCTCTCTTGGTAAACCAGTCTTTTAATAGAATGTCATTAATTAGTGACGCTGATGTCTATTAAAATTATCATAAGCTCAAAACACTGAAGGCAAACAGTTTCCATCAGGTAGAACTGAGTGGCTCTGAAATCACTTTACAAACAAGCAAAGTTTCAGTTTAAGATTTATTTGAACTTAGTTACAAGTTTAAGTTTAATAAAAACTTTAAACTCAGGTTCACAGGTGAGGTTTCCTTTACTAAACTGCATCTGTAGGTCTCTGTTCATAAACATAAACTAGACAAAACTAATTTACTATAAAATGAAATGTGTTTGTATAAATTCAGAAATAAGACACGTCAGTCTCAACTGCATATGTGTACATATTTCTATATTGTGGTCTGTTTACACAAAGTTAGGTTAGTTCATCATTTATGTTGAATAGACTCTCCCAAAGTTTTACACTGCTGCACTGATGTTGAACCGTGTGCTGCACTGGGTCGGTATGACCAACAGGTCAAAACAAGCTCAGAACTAAGTGACCGCTGTGCCCTGATTGGTGTTCTCGCTTCGTGCTTCTTTCATTTTGACATGTTACGTTTTTATACACACATAAACCAAAAGGAGTGACAGATTTCTCATAATGTAGTGGAGTGAAAGTAAAAAGTTGCCCAAAATGGAAAAACTTCAGTAAAGTACAGATACAGGAAAAACTACTTAAGTACAGCAACAAATTACATTTACTTAGTTACTGTCCACCACTGCTAGCAAGCTTAGTCTTGTTGTGGTTTTCAGGGTCATGTGAGTGGAGAAGGGGGAGGTCACTGTGCTTGTAGTGGGCTGGTTTGGACAAAAGTCCAGGGCTGAATTCTGTTCCCAGTCCACATGGTAGTGTTTGTGGTGCTGTATCAGACACAGAGGTGATGCTGGAGTGTTTACACACGTTAGTGTCACTGCTAGGTTGCGAGTGGACCGTCTAACCAAAACTCTCCAAACAAGAGCAGCTCTGTGGTCAGAAACCGATCAATACTGAGGGACTAGAGCAGTGGACACTAACCCTGCTCTTAGAGATCCGCCTTCTTGCAGATTCAGCTGCAACCCTAATCAGCTCACCCTGATTCATCTATAAAGTCAATTCTATAAGAGTTTAGACAGAAGGTGAATTCAGTAAAATCAGAGATCAGTGATTTATAGATCTACTTTGACCTGTATATGAAAGAAAACAGTACAAAGACAACATATTTAATGTTTTATCTTATCAACTTCATTGTTCTTGTAAATATACTGTCATTCTGACAACGATGCCTGGAACATGTTCCAAAAGAGTTTGGACAGGAGCAGTTTAAGACCAGGCACACTGTTACATGTTCAAAAAACACTTTCAAACAGGTGATGTCATCATGCCTGGGCATAAAAAGAGCGTCCAGGAAAGGCCCAGTCCTTCGTTAATGATGATGGATCAAGGCCATTTTACCACAAATGCAAAAATCCCAAAAAACCCAACCATCTTCAAATAATTACTCAGTCCTGTTAAAGGAAAGGTGATGTAACACAGCGGTGAACATGCTCCTGTAGCGTTTTTGGAACATGCTGCGAGCATCAAAATTGGAATGAGCGTATATTTACAACAACAACAACAAACAAACAAACAAACAAACAATGATCTGCATAAAATAAAACATCAAATTTTAAATGAATCTGAAATTAAAGCGTCTCTTTCTGTGTAAATCACTCAGATTATAAGCAGCTCATAAAAAATAAGATTAGACGGATTTTTCATTAATTTAGGAATTATTATTATTATTATTATTATTATTATTATTACAAATAATTTACTTATCTTTACTACAGTTTGTTGGTTACTATTATAAATAGTTTATGTATGATTATGCCTTGTTTATTATCACGACCACTATTATTATTATTATTATTATTATTATTATTATTATAAATGTCTGTGTCTGTGTGAGGTTCCAGATAGCTGCAGGACTGTCTACAGAACGTTACGCTCTCGTGTTTGGAGCGAACACCTTCACTGCTCTGGTTCTGCAGACCATTCTCACCTCCATCGTGGTGGACAGCAGAGGTCTCGGCCTGGACATTGTTCCCCAGGTCAGATTATTATTATTATTATTATTATTATTATTATTATTATTATGTTGATATTTTTGAATTAAGTATTTATTTGCTGTACAGTCCTTGGTTCTTCATGGGTTCTTTAGCAAACGTGAAATGGTGCATGGTGAAATCGTTCTTCAGATTGATGGAGAACGTGTTGTATATGATTCTATATAGAACCTTTTTGAAAATGGTTCTGTAAAGCACCAAAAAGGGTTCTACTGCTGTTATGATCTCAAGCTTATTATAATAGAAGAACCCTTTTTAGTGCTATATAGAACCCTTTGTAGATGGCTCTATATAGAACCACCGATAATATACATATACGCGTTCTTCATCAGTCTGAAGAACCGTTTCACCATGTAAAGAGCCTTTTAATCATGCAAATGGTTCTGTATAGAACCATTGTCTTTGCCAGAGAATCTTTCGGAAGTGCATATGTTAAACAGTAATAAAGAAAAGGGAATTATTTCTGTTATTGATGTTAATATGAATATTAATAAATTGACTTGGGGGCTTTTATTCTTCATGTTACAGACTTTACAGAATAAAAGTTACCTACAGTAGAAATGTAGTAAATAAAATCAAATTACATCAAATTCATTTTGTTAATTTTTGTAAAATGTATATTTTTAGATTGGATTATTTTTCAATTATTTCTCTTTTAATGTTTTCATATTAAATTCTTTCATAAAGATTTAATTTAATACATGATATTATTTTAAACAAGTAAAACTATATCTATAAATATATTTAATAGTGTTGTTTTTACAGTCATCTGGTAATGATCATCATTAGATATAGAGATTAGATTACTGATTATTTCTCTCAGTAAGAGATGATTATTATTATTTATAGTGTAATAAACTATATGTTTATGAGAGTGAGGAGTTAAACATGTGAGGAGTTTAAAGAGTGAAGTTTCTATGTGTTCTTGTTTATTTTGTGTTTTAGTTTATTATTTATGGATCATATTTCTCCTGTATCGCTCTGCTGTTCCTCCTGAGGGGTCTGTACACGTTCCACCGGCACAGAGCACCACCGGAACAGAGAACCAGAGAAGAACAGAACCAGATCACAGACACACAGTCTGAACAGAAACCCTAACATAAACAAATAAAATATGAAAGACAGAGTTCAGTTTGATCAAATAAATAATGTGAGCTTAAATTTATAAAGGCTTGTTGAATAAGTAAATTGTAAATTAAAATAAATAAATACATACACTATAATAATACATATATTAAAATGTTATATACAGTAAACGTCTCTTTACTAATAAAACTGATAAGGCAGTTCCTCACTGAGGATGAGGCGTCGTCATGAACCTTAAACATCTTTATATTATGTTAGAATAAATAATATTTTCTTTTGTTTCTTTTGACAAACAATCAGTGATGTGTTATTAATGTTAATAACCTCAGTGATGATTTCTGGATATTTATGGACAGTTTTTTTTGGTTTTTGATTTTAGATTGTTTTCCTCCTTTTGACCCATAAAAGTAAGTCTTTACAGAACAGCCTCCTTCTGTTTACCTGGTTTTTATCACTGTTATGATCATGAAGGCGTCTTTAATGAACACCCAGGTGATGCTGATGTTCTGATATACTGAACGAAATGTTCACAGCGTTCAGTTCCACTAAATCACCACTAGAGGGAGTTACAGCTGTATTTAAACAGACTGTTTACTCACAGTATAAACTCTGAAATATGGAAATAAACAACATAAACATAAAATATCAGGAGACGAATGTACAGCGTTGATAAGAGTCATAAACCTGCTGAATTTAAACAGAACCTGCAGGTAGAACCTGTTCAATCATAAACTTGAGGACGAATTTCGGTGAATCTTGTGTGGAACTTTGGAACGTCATGATGTTTTAATTTATATTTTACTTCAAACTTTGAGAAACTAATGCATTAAGAATGTCATTGATGTTATAGTAGAACTTATGGTTCCCTAAAGAACCTTTCAGTGGAACTATTTTTGTAAAGGAGATATGAATGTGGAAACTTAAAGCGTAAACGTAAAGAACCGACATAGAACGTTTACATCATGTGAAAGTTCTTTAAACTTTAAGAGGTTCCCCACACACACAAACCTCTTTTTCCAAACATGGTTCTTCATGGTAATAAAGGTGGTTCTCCTGTGGAAAGAACTCTTTGTGGAGTCTTTATTTTTATGACTGTAAAGAAATCAGAGAAAATGACCCAGAGTTCCACTGATGTTCTGGTGCCCAACGTGTTCCGGTGAATAAATGCTGTTCTGGTTCCACATTAAATTCCATGTTACAGTATTAGTTCTGTATGTTTATTATACAATCTGACACAGCTGTGAAACTGATGTATATATATATATATATATATATATATATATATATATATATATATATAAATATATATATATATATGTGTGTGTTTGGGTGGTGGATCATTCTCAGCACTGCAGTAGTCTGATCAGTGTGTGCGTGTGTGCGTGTGTGTGTGTGAGTTTGTTCTTGTAGCGCTATACTTGTGAGGACCCCATGTCCTTACTATGATAGGATTATATGAATTTTGTTGTGTTGTTTCCACCACAATTACTTTTTTATTTGAAAACTAAAAGAGCAGAAAAAATGCCCTTTGGATACTGAGGTTAAGGTTAGGTTTAGGTGTAGCATTATTTAGCTACAGTAACACAAAAATCAACAGAAACCTAGGGACGTCCTCATAGGTATAGCAAGACAAACATGAGTGTGTGTTAGTGTGTGTGTGTTAGTGTGTGTATGTGTGTGTGTGTTAATGTGTGTGTATCTGTGTGAGTGTGTGTGTTAGCATGTGTATCTGTGTGAGTGTGTGTGTGTTAGTGTGTGTATCTGTGAGTGTGTGTGTGTTAGTGTATCTGTGTGAGTGTGTGTGTGTTAGTGTGTGTATCTGTGTGAGTGTGTGTGTTAGTGTGTGTATCTGTGTGAGTGTGTGTGTTAGTGTGTGTATCTGTGAGTGTGTGTGTTAGTGTGTGTATCTGTGAGTGTGTGTGTGTTAGTGTATCTGTGTGAGTGTGTGTTAGTGTGTGTATCCGTGTGAGTGTGTGTGTGTATCTGTGTGAGTGTGTGTTAGTGTGTGTATCTGTGTGAGTGTGTGTTAGTGTGTGTATGTGTGTGTGTGTGTGTGTTAGTGTATCTGTGTGAGTGTGTGTGTTAGTGTGTGTATCTGTGTGAGTGTGTGTGTTAGTGTGTGTATCCGTGTGAGTGTGTGTGTGTATCTGTGTGAGTGTGTGTTAGTGTGTGTATCTGTGTGAGTGTGTGTGTTAGTGTATCTGTGTGAGTGTGTGTGTGTTAGTGTGTGTATCTGTGTGAGTGTGTGTGTTAGTGTGTGTATCTGTGTGAGTGTGTGTGTTAGTGTATCTGTGTGAGTGTGTGTGTGTTAGTGTGTGTATCTGTGTGAGTGTGTGTGTTAGTGTGTGTATCTGTGTGAGTGTGTGTTAGTGTGTGTATCTGTGAGTGTGTGTGTTAGTGTATCTGTGTGAGTGTGTGTGTTAGTGTGTGTATCCGTGTGAGTGTGTGTGTGTATCTGTGTGAGTGTGTGTTAGTGTGTGTATCTGTGTGAGTGTGTGTTAGTGTGTGTATGTGTGTGTGTGTTAATGTGTGTGTATCTGTGTGTGTGTGTGTTAGTGTGTGTATCTGTGAGTGTGTGTGTGTTAGTGTATCTGTGTGAGTGTGTGTGTGTTAGTGTGTGCATCTGTGTGAGTGTGTGTGTGTATCTGTGTGAGTGTGTGTTAGTGTGTGTATCTGTGTGAGTGTGTGTTAGTGTGTGTGTCAGTGTGTATGATTGTGTGTGTATTAGTGTGTGTGTACTGAATTTGTGCTGTAATGCTCTGTGTGTGGAGTTGTGCTGTGAAGTCTGGAGTAAATGCTGTGGAGTGAACTCTGGAGTAAATGCTGTGGAGTGAACTCTGGAGTAAATGTTGTGGAGTGAAGTCTGGAGTAAATGCTGTAGAGTGAACTCTGGAGTAAATGCTGTGGAGTGAAGTCTGGAGTAAATGCTCTGGAGTGAACTCTGGAGTAAATGCTGTAGAGTGAACTCTGGAGTAAATGCTGTGGAGTGAAGTCTGGAGTGAACTGTGGAGTAAATTCTATGGAGTGAACTCTGGAGTAAATGCTCTGGAGTAAATGCTGTAGAGTGAACTCTGGAGTAAATGCTGTAGAGTGAACTCTGGAGTAAATGCTGTGGAGTGAACTCTGGAGTAAATGTTGTGGAGTGAAGTCTGGAGTAAATGCTGTGGAGTGAACTCTGGAGTAAATGTTGTGGAGTGAAGTCTGGAGTAAATGCTGTGGAGTGAACTCTGGAGTAAATGCTGTGAAGTGAAGTCTGGAGTAAATGCTGTAGAGTGAACTCTGGAGTAAATGCTGTGGAGTGAAGTCGGGAGTAAACCCTGTGGAGTGAAGTCTGGAGTAAATGCTGTGGAGTGAACTCTGGAGTAAATGCTGTAGAGTGAACTCTGGAGTAAATGCTGTGGAGTGAAGTCTGGAGTAAATGCTGTGGAGTGAACCCTGGAGTAAATGCTGTAGAGTGAACTTTGGAGTAAATTCTATGGAGTGAAGTCTGGAGTAAATGCTGTAGAGTGAACTCTGGAGTAAATGCTGTGGAGTGAACTGTGGAGTAAATTCTGTGGAGTGAAGTCTGGAGTAAATGCTGTGGAGTGAACTCTGGAGTGAACTGTGGAGTGAACTATGGAGTGAACTGTGGACTGAAGTCTGGAGTGAACTGTGGAGTGAACTATGGAGTGAACTGTGGACTGAAGTCTGGAGTAAATGCTGTGGGGTGAAGTCTGGAGTAAAAGCTGTGGAGTGAACTCTGGAGTGAACTGTGGAGTGAAGTCTGGAGTAAATGCTGTGGAGTGAAGTCTGGAGCAAATGCTGTGGAGTGAACTGTGGAGTAAATTCTGTGGAGTGAAGTCTGGAGTAAATGCTGTGGAGTGAACTCTGGAGTGAACTGTGGAGTGAACTATGGAGTGAACTGTGGACTGAAGTCTGGAGTGAACTGTGGAGTGAACTATGGAGTGAACTGTGGACTGAAGTCTGGAGTAAATGCTGTGGGGTGAAGTCTGGAGTAAAAGCTGTGGAGTGAACTCTGGAGTGAACTGTGGAGTGAAGTCTGGAGTAAATGCTGTGGAGTGAAGTCTGGAGCAAATGCTGTGGAGTGAACTCTGGAGTAAATGCTGTGGAGTGAAGTCTGGAGTAAATGCTGTGGAGTGAACTCTGGAGTGAACTGTGGAGTAAATTCTATGGAGTGAACTCTGGAGTAAATGCTCTGGAGTAAATGCTGTGGAGTGAACTCTGGAGTAAATGCTGTGGAGTGAACTCTGGAGTAAATGCTGTGGAGTGAAGTCTGGAGTAAATGCTGTGGAGTGAACTGTGGAGTGAACTGTGGAGTAAATGCTGTGGAGTGAAATCTGGAGTAAATGCTGTGGAGTGAACTGTGGAGTGAACTGTGGAGTAAATGCTCTGGAGTGAAATCTGGAGTAAATGCTGTGGAGTGAACTCTGGAGTGAACTGTGGAGTTAATGCTCTGGAGTGAACTCTGGAGTAAATGCTGTGGAGTGAACTGTGGAGTAAATGCTGTGGAGTGAACTCTGGAGTAAATGCTGTAGAGTGAACTGTGGAGTAAATGCTGTGGAGTGAACTCTGGAGTAAATGCTGTGGAGTGAACTGTGGAGTAAATGCTGTGGAGTGAAGTCTGGAGTAAATGCTGTAGAGTGAACTCTGGAGTAAATGCTCTGGAGTGAACTGTGGAGTAAATGCTGTGGAGTGAACTCTGGAGTAAATGCTGTGGAGTGAAGTCTGGAGTAAATGCTCTGGAGTGAACTCTGGAGTAAATACTGTGGAGTGAACTCTGGAGTAAATGCTGTGGAGTGAACTCTGGGGTAAATGCTGTGGAGTGAACTGTGGAGTAAATGCTGTGGAGTGAAGTCTGGAGTAAATGCTGTGGAGTGAACTGTGGAGTAAATGCTCTGGAGTGAACTCTGGAGTAAATGCTGTGGAGTGAACTCTGGAGTAAATGCTCTGGAGTGAACTCTGGAGTAAATGCTCTGGAGTGAACTGTGGAGTAAATGCTGTGGAGTGAACTCTGGAGTAAATGCTGTGGAGTGAACTGTGGAGTAAATGTTTTGGAGTGAACTCTGGAGTAAATGCTGTGGAGTGAACTCTGGAGTAAATGCTCTGGAGTGAACTCTGGAGTAAATGCTCTGGAGTGAACTCTGGAGTAAATGCTGTTGAGTCAGAGGGGAGAAACTCGACTGACTGACTGGTTATCAGGAGCTGAATCTCTCAGACGGAGAGACTCTGCAGATCAGCTCTGATTACCTCTCACTTCCCATCATCATCATCATGATGAAGCACATTTTAAACTCTCCGGAACAGCCACACACACTGACTGCCACACACGTTACAGACTCTGTTCAATAAGGTTGTATTGATTAGGTGTTACAATAATCGAGTAAACAGAATTTTGATTATTTTGTTGTATAATCCACTACATCTCCCATCACTTCTTCAACCACATCTGTCATTTCTATCATCACATCTCCAGCACATTAATCATCATCATCACATCTCCAGCACATTAATCATCATCACATCTTCAGCACATTAATCATCATCATCACATCTCCAGCACATTAATCATCATCATCACATCTTCAGCACATTGTCCACAGCATCTTTCAACATGTCTTTACTGCATCTTCATCACGTCTTCATCGTAATCCATTGCTGTCTGCTTTGGCTCTTCTAGTCCTCAGCCTCAAGTCTCAGATACTGAATCAGAATCAGAATTAGAATCAGAATCTTAATGAGAATCTAAATCTTAATTTCATTCATAATCTGAATCAGAGGCAGAATCAGAAACAGAATTAGAATCAGAGTGTTAATCAGAATCAGTATTAGAATCAGAATCTTAATCAGAATCAGAATCGGCATCGGAATCTTAATCAGAATCAGAATCTGAATCATCAGAATTAGAATCAGAATCTTTATCAGAATCTGAATCAGAATCTGAATCATAATGGGGATCAGAACTGGTCAGTAGGTCTCACTGAGACACAGTAATGAGTAAATAATCAGGGTTTGGGTCAAAATAGATTTTACTCAGTTTATTATTTAGATTTTCCGCCTCAGTCTGAGGATCAGAACGAGTTTAAATAAAGCTTTATTTTAATATAAACGAGTGATCAGTTTATTTTGAATGTTGTTATTCAGAGTGAAAGAACACTCTGTGTGTGTGTGTGTGTGTGTGTGTGTGTGTGTGTGTGCGTGTGTGTGCGTGTGTGTGTGTTAGTTGTAAATCCAGACTAACCGGACATTCCACCATCTGACTATAAAACCACACACGCACACGGCACACACACACGGCACACGTGCTCAGTTCTGTTTGTAATTCACCTTTTCATTATTTATTATGGTATTTATTTATTGATTATTGATTTGCTCCAGAGGAGAGACTCGACAATCTGAGAAATTATTAAGGTTCTGATGCAGCTCTTCACTCTGAAGGTGAGTTACCTGTGACTCTATAATTTATCAGACTGTAATATATTTAAATCAATATAATTTATTAATGAATTCATAATTTGATCCATTTTTACCTGTAAGTTTTAGATTTTATGTTGATTGAATTAATAACCTCGCTGTAGTAACACAGCACAGTCACTCACTGTAAATTCAGGTTTTAACAGAAACTACTGATCAGCGAGAGCTGCTGACTGAGCTGAATCACTCAGCTCCAGTTCAGTTATTATAAACTCTTATAACTTCTCAAGTAAGTAATTTTGCTGAGAATTAATATGAGCTGTAATAAATGAAATGATTGTGATATATGTATCACATCATGAACATCACATTTCTGTAGTTCTGTGAGAAATTAGCCAGCTAGGTAACTTAGCTCAGGTTATCAGAGTTTAGTGGGATTAAAACTGACTGTAAGTTATTTATTCATTAGAAAGTAGAAAAGTGGTGTAAGTAATTAATAACAAACAAATATTGAATAATTTGAGTGCTAAGCTAATGTTAGCTGTTAACCTGTCTGGATAACCTGGATAACAGCTAACCCTAGCTAGGTTAGCTAACTTAAAGGGGAATTTCACCAGTTCTTCAGAATTTCTGCATAATTCAATGGTTAAGATGTAAACAGGGTGGTTCAGAGCAGTTCAGAGTGGTTTGGTGTGAAACGCTCTGTTCTAGATAAACTTACAGAGTCAGAACTGTTCACAGTGGTGGTGATAGGAACCAGACGTCCACCTCTAAAAGCTCCCTCACAGAAAGTTCCTACATGAAATGGTTATGAATTCACTGCCTGATGACTGAGACACTGTTTTATGATAGTTTAGAGAACTTAAACTCCATTCATGGTGGAGGGATACATGCAGGGCGCTGTGAGGCAAAATAGTCCCCAAAGAAAACTTATTATTTCAGATTTTCCACTATTTTCCATCATCAACATTCCATATAAACTCAGAAGACTCGTGTAGGTTCACTGGTGGTTCTGGACAGTGAATAAAATGCCTATATTTGTGTTGTAAAGATGTCTGAATTGCTAAGTTTCTCTACAATGAATGATTCCATTATAAAAGTCTGTGTAATTCCCCTTTAAATTGATGTGTTAGTGTTGGCTTATGTCCATATGTTTATTTTGTTCCAGGTTTGACTCCACTAAGATGAGGAAAACATCTTCCCTGAAGAGCTTCTGGCCCTCCGAGGTGAGCTGGATATTTGGACAGTTGCACGTTGTCCTTTAAACGTATCCGACAGTTGGTGGATTTACTTCAACAACAAAAACGTCTTTCAGACACATCTTCCCTGTTACAGCCCAGCTTTACTGCCCAGCTTTATTAATAGAAGGTCTTTTATACTAAAACGCAGGAAGAGCAGGTCACTTATTTTTCACAAAAATATATGTAAACTTAATCTCTTGGAAAAGGTGGCTCTTCAAAGGTTCTTTAGTAAAGGCAATGGTTCTAATTAGTAAAAGCAATGGTTCTAATTAGTAAAGGCAATGGTTCACGCCTCATTTCTAGCAGTTTGTTGCATGTGTGTTAGCTTGGGTCTCATGGCAAAGTCCTAATGGGAAAGTCTGTTCACTCGGCAGCCGTTTTTGCAACACCGCCGGGCAGTTATTTCCAGCCATACAAGACCAGACTCCTCTCTCTGAGTGAGGAGAAACCAAAACAGTTGAAACTGAAGATCAGATTATTGTTTTAAAAACAGATTTGAAATCACTGATAAAATCTGACCAAAACACTAAAAATAGTTTGTAGCTTTTGGCTCAATAACGCAGAAAAACATGATATGTTAGGTTGTTCTGGCCACTGCGCCCGCACAGATCTCCACAATGAGGGGGGCGGCCCCATGCACCATGATATCGTTGACCTGTCTCCACTCGGCGTAACCAGCAAGCAGATTGGCTGTTTTTCCTGAAGGGCGGGAGAAGCCATATTAAGCACTGTGAGCGTTTTCGTTCATATTTTAACCAGTGACCATCTCCTCATGTATAACGTCTCTGCTCATGGCTGGTGCAGCTCAGGACTAGCTTGTGTTTAGCATGTTAGATCAGGGCCCAATAAAGCTGAGCTTTGGTTTAGCCTTTCTGTGCTACTGAGTTGTTCAGGCTAAACTCACTGTGCTGTTCTAAAGTCTCTAATATTGATCTTCTGTAATGTTAAATGCTCGAATAATCTGAAAATGTAAACATTAACGCATTAATATGATTAATATCATTTTTGCCTGTTGAAACGTGACAGTGTTTATCGTTATGGACGATATTGTGAGTTAATCGTTGCAGCCGTAGTTTTTAGAGAACCTGCTGAATTTTTGTTTGTTTGTTTGTGTGTTTGTGTGTTTCCTGCAGAGGGACTGGGGCTGTGGGCCTCAGCAGCCGCCCCACTGCTCCGGCTCCGTGCCCTCAGCCTGCTATGCAGTGAAGAGGAGCTGCTCTGGAATCCTGCAGCTCCCCCGGCTGTCCTGCAGGAGCTCCGCTCAGCCTGACCAGGAGAACTTCATCAGCAAGGCGCCCACCAAAGTGACCTTCTGTCTGGGGGCCAGCGAGGACACCATCTTGGACAAAGTGCAGAAACACTGGTAAGATGTTATTTTATCAGTTAGGTGAGCCACCTGGGCTTTGGTCTGAAGGTAGTGGTCCAACTGCACTGATTTTCAAATATTATTATTGATTGTAATTAATTACTGCAACATTCTACTAATATTCTATGAAATTCTTTATTATATTTATATTAAAATATGCGCCTAGTTTCTGGTCAAAATAAAATCCTCAGGCTTTTATGTTTAAATGTATTGCTGTATTGATTCTATACCTCTATATTTCACTTCTGTGCAGTTAGTTTCTCCAGACTCATGTGTGAATTAAAGCATCTAAATAGTCTTTGGGGCCTATTTTGCCTCACAACGCCTTGCATGTATCCCTCCACCATGAATGAATGAAAAAAGTAAGCTTATTTTAAAACAATTGTGAACATAATTCTGAAATTAGTCACATGGAAATGAATCATGATCATTTTTTTTGAAAGATTATGCATTTTAAGAAATACAAGAAATACAAGAGAACATATAAACTCTCAAATATATATACACACACAGTCCTAACCTTGAAGCCATTTCTGTATTCGGGTACAATAAAAAAAGAAATGAATAAATAAATAAATAAATAAATAAATAGATAGATAGATAGATAGATAGATATAGATATTTTGTGCTTAAATTAGTACATTGCAAATATTCACATAAGACAGATAAATATGTACGAGAGAACATAAAGAAGATACTAAACCTGCTTCATAAATCTGTTTCTTTTTCTTCTATTCTTTCTTTTTTCTCTTCATAAACATATAAATCATCCCCACATCTTCTGAAAAATACTGCTTTTCTTTTTGACTGTGTATGTAAGTCTCTCTTGCGCCAAACATGAACACAGTTCTCTCATCCATGAGCCTAAAACTGGGTGGGTTACATTCTTCCAGCACACGGCAGTGAAAGGCTTTGCATGTGGAATGCAGAGATGTTTTGTGTTTTGTGTTTTTTTAATGACGATGTTTCTGAATTAAGACCCAAAAAGCTGAAGGCAAACTGGAAATACCTGAGCAGGAGTGCTGTAAACTGTGCTGATTACTTCGTTCACAATCTTTGCACAGACTGACTCTCACACAGTCCGTTAGGGTTCCTTCTGGTGTTACCTTAAAGCAGATATCTGGAACATTGGGATTAAACCTGTTCAGCAGTGCAGGTGTTAGGTTCTTATTAGCCAACTATACTGGATTAGAGAATCATGCTGAGATTTCCTGTTACACTGAATCTTGTTCTGAAGAAATCAGTTGTTGTGATTGGTGTGAGGATCTATAAAGATGTGCTGGTAGTCAGAGCGTCTGAGCCCTGAACGCCCTGGCTGGAGGTTATAATGCAGGACAGGTCGAGCAGATTGAAGGTGTGAACTAGTGGATTAAATAAAGACAAATTAAGCCCTTAAATGGCCAGTTTTATTACACACCTCTATAATCTAAGAATAGCTCAGCCAGTTTGTACTGAAGTCCCTGTAGTTACTGAATAGTAAGACTTTTACAGGGTTAAATACAAAATAGAGAACAAACTCAGGGGTCCATTTCAAAATAGTTTTCAGTTCTCTTCACTTTTTTAAAAGTTTTCAGTTCTTTTTTTGTCTTCCCAGCATTTTTGCCTTCCATTCACATGTAAACGGCACATTCGGTCACTGAAAACAGTTAAAAAACAAACAAAGAAAAAAATCAGCTTTTTAAAAATGCTGACATCACAACGCTTGGTTGTTGTTGTTTCTACTTACAGAAGATGCTGAACTCTGTCTAAAATGGTCACTTGGCGGTTTTTGTGTGTTTAGCAGTTTGAGCGGTTTATGATGGTCCATGTAGTTAACCCCTTACGTGGTCAGGCCCACCGGCGGCCCATAGATTTATTGTACACTTCTATAATGTAAGAAGTCCCTGTAGTCACTGAATAATAAGCCTCAGTGTGAGATAAGCCTAAGATCTGAAGGGGTTAAAGCTAATTAGTGTTTTTGTGTTTATATTAGTGTTGATTACACTTCTTTCTGAAAGTTATGAAATAATAACTCTTTTTTATGCTTGCCTACAAAACAATTAATCAGGGTGTGAGAGCCCACCCAGCTCTGAAGTAGCACAATGTTCAGGCCTCAGAATGTTCAGTAATGATCCTCACGCTGTTCCTCCTGAGCGGACGGACGGGTCTCTGCGGCTCTTTTCACCCTCAGTGAGCTGAAACACTGACTCAGCACTGTAGAGACCTGCTCTCCTTCGGTTCGTCATCATGTTGGTTTTGCTCTTTCACCTTCAGCGTCTGCAGCTGGCGGAAAACTCCTGCAGGTGTTGTGAGAGAGTGAGGCGTATCTTTGATCTGTAGAGAGTGGTTATCTCTGAGGGGGATCAGTGAGCTGTGTGTAAAGGTTACAGGAAGTGCTCTATGAAAAGAAAAAAAAAAGGATGAAGTCAGTCGGGTCATCTGGAAACACACTGTTACAAAGTCCAGAGTAATAATGCATCATAATGCATTCTTCCACAGTCAGATTGACTAATGACATTAATGACATTGACTAATGTCTCATATTAAGGTGTTTTTTGGCCACAAACTCAGTAAGAACTAAATTCACTCTAGTTTAGTCGTACACTGAAAAAATCAGCTGCATAAATCATGTAATAACACTGTGACTGAATTGTATTTGAGCACATTTTTCATGATACCGAAAGTCACCATACAAGGAGAAAATAATCAGTTCATAATTCTAACAGATGAATCCATTACAGTTACGCAAAAAGAGGCGCTTATAAAATAAACAAATCCCTCCAGGAAGCTCAGGTTTCCTACTCGGATTCATATTAAAGGGTTTAATGATTTGAAACAGTTGTTTCTCACTGAGGACGTTCAGTCCAGGACCAGCAGAGGGAGCCAGATCCTGCGTCTCGGCTCTGCTCTGAAGTCTCAGCGCTCTGTGTGTTTAGTCTTCACTCTCAGTTTGCCTCGTTAATCAGTTCATTAGTTAATTAGCTGGACCAGGTGTGTTGGAGCAGGAGAACTCTGAGATGGACAGAGTGGTGGTTCTTTTTTCAGGCTGAGATAATTTGATACACAATGTGTTAAATTATTCACTTTTTCTGACATCTGATTGTTTATGAGAGACGAAGCTGTGACACATTTAAAAATACTGTCAAAACTATCAATGCAGTGATTTCGTCCCCTCGGAATGATGAGGTTCTGACATTTTATCAAAATTAAGTTTTTCTCATTTTCTGATTCTGTGACGCTTCTTTACATAATGTGAGGCGTTTTTAAGTTGTGTGCATTTTCAGGCTCTTTATCTAGAAAACAAAAAAGGTTCTGTCTCCGAAATCAAACTCTAACTTAGTTCTATAAGGTTCTATCAGTGACAGTGGGAAAGGTTTATAAAACTTTATGAAACATAAAAACATGCTGCTGAAACTCTGCCTGTTGTCTTACAGCTCTTTAAAAACACTTACTGTCTTAAATGTGATAAATATTAAGATTTAAAGATAATTAAATAGTGAACATTTGAATTTATGGGGTCCTAATTACAACATAAACATTAATTTCATTCATACTTTTTCTTCTTTCTCCCAAAATAAGACATTTTGGTGCTTCAGATTTCTGGTTGCTGTTTATCTAAAGGAAACCTAAACTAATGGTTCCTAAAACTGACCTCTGCACTGGACAGAATATGTGTGTTAGATAATACCTTCTATCAACCGATGCTTTTTTGGATAAAAAAAAAAAAAATGATTTGTCCTAAAACAAGAAATTAATGTCATAAAAAATAAAAAGGTTATAGAAAGCGTTAAATTTAACGTTATGGTAATGTCGACACTGTTATGCTAATTTTATGTTTTAAAACAAATTATGAGTATAAACTGTTTGTGTTTCTTGAAAATCGTTGCTTCTTTTCATGTTCTGTCAGATAGAACCTTAGAACTCCAAGCAGAAAGTGGGTTCTTAGGATTAGAAGGTTCTATCTGCATTTGACCTGTTCCAAAAAAACCCATTTACAGATTTGATAGGATTTTGATATTAAATATTTAGTATAAATTTAGGGTTTCTGTCATTTCCATGTATTGAAGAGGCCTGCTCCACATATCAGTTCTGCTGTTGAAAATCCTTCAAGCTCAATATCTCAAAACTGCTCAGAACCCAGAGAGAACCTTATAATTCCAGGGGGCGAGTTGTGTTCATTATTTCACACACTGTGCTGCACTAAAACCAACCAAACAGGGCTAATTATATGTGTAGTCAGTTAAAAAGTGCTGGTGGGTGATATGGAAAAAATATATCATGATACTGGAAGAAATTTTCACCATACGTGATATGCATCATGATATTTTAACACCAAAGCAACAGGAAAAATGTAGGATATGGACTTTTTAACCACTGAAATAATAAAACTATCATATATAAATGAACTAAATTATTAAGTTTAAACAATAAAAGAGATAAAACAACTGACTAAGATAGAAACATAAAATCAGTATAAAACAATCAAATAAGAAAATGGTTTAAAATTAAAAAAGTACCGACTAAAATCAACGAGAACAGTTGTGGGTCGAATGAAGGAGCTCAGAGTCACGGATTATGAATGTTTATTTGTGTTCTAATTGCTTTGTGTGATAATTAACTGTACGTTAGACCTTCAGCAGATGGAGACGAGGTGGAGTCTTACTTTACTGCGTTACGTACACAGCTGTGCTCAGTAGGACAGCAAAGTCAGTCAGTTCTACTGAAGTTTCTGCACCATGTTCTGTTTCTGCAGCAGAGAATTCCTCAAAACGGGAAAGGAGACGCAGCAACGTACACTGAGTACATTTAACCCGTGTAGATGGTCCCTGATAGCGAACTCAGAGCTGTTTCTGAGCCACCGCAGCATTCCGGTTATGTCTGAGTGAGGTTTAATCTGCTCAGACTGTTTTCCTCTCAGAGGAGTGAGTTTATCTGGCAGCTGTAAGACTGCATGAACCTTTTTAGCCCTTTAGATGATCAAAGCCTACAGGGGGAGGCTTGAAGTCGGAGATAAAGAC